CAAATATCCTACAGGGACATAAAACATAACATAACACAAAGGCAGTATTTCTTCACACAACAGTCAACATGTAGAACTTGTTGCCAGAGGATGTTGCGAAGGCCACAATTATAACGGGTTCAGAAAAGAACTACAGTAGATAAATTCATAGATGAAAGGACCAGCAATGGCTATTAGCCAAGATTATGAGGAATGCAACCCCATGGTAGCTGGAGTGGACAACAGGGGATGGATGCTCAATGATTGCCAGTTCTGTTCATTCCCTCTGAAGCACCTGGCATTGGCCAGTCAGAAGACGGGATACTGGGCTAGATGGACCATTGGTCTGACCCAGTCTGGCCGGTCTTCTGTTCTTAACAGCAGTGGGGGTAGTATTGCAGAAGAATATTCTCATGGGGGAGAAAACCTGTTCTCTTAGGGAGCAGCACAAAGAATGGGGTCTCCAGGGGGAAAGAATGGTCTACCTTTTACCTCCCCACCACTATTCTGCCTTCTCCAAACTGGGACCAGGGTGGAACGCCTTGATCCAGCAAAGCTCGTGAGTAAAGTAACCCCAGTGAAGTCACTGCTCAGGGTGGGGATTTTCAAAGGAGCCTTTGGGAGTCTGAAAAGCAATTCAAGTAACTCCCTGAGTCCTCACTAGCGTGACCAGACAGCAAGTGTGAAAAATCGTGACAGAGGGTGAGGGGTAATAGGAGCCTATATAAGAAAGAGCCCCAAATATCGGGACTATCCCTATAAAATCGGGACATCTGATCACCCTAGTCCCCACTGAAAGGCCCAGCTTAAGTGCTGCTGAAAAATTCTGTTTTGATTCTCCCACAGTGGATTGTTTCTGGGAAACCCTTTTGGTGAAAATCTTCACCTTTTTGCCCTGATATGGGATGGATTTTTTTTTTTAAACTGTGAATTTTTCATGGGCAGGGATTCTGTCTTCTGCCACCTCTACATGGGAGCTTCAGTGCTAAGACCATGAGCCACAACAGCTGAGCTAAATGGGTCCCTTCCCTAGCTGGCAGCTAGAGAACGCACATCCTAGATGCATTAGGAAGAGGATGAGTAATACGCCCTGCCCAACGGGTCACCTATTGTCATGATGGGGCTTGGCCAGCCATGTCTAGTGGTCAGAGCAGTGGTCAGAAGGCAGGAACAGCTCCGGTCAGAGCTGGAGTCAGGAACCAGGAGCCAGAGCCGGGGTCAGGAGCCCAAGAGAAACCCAAGAGGCAGGTCCATCCCTACAACTGGCAGGGGGGTCCACTTTGTCACACAAACACTTCCTAGAACTCCTCCTGCACTTAAATAGGGTCCCTGGACCCATTGGGCCACCAGGAAAGCTGCAATTCTGGGCTTCTGAGGTGGGACTTCCTGTGGTGTTTATCTCCACAGGGTTTGTAGGATAAGAAACATGACTCTATACTGCGGCAGCCATAGGTGCTGATTTCCCCCCTAGTCAGGGTGTGCTCGACCTCCCTTCTTCCCCAGGCCCCGCTCCCACTCTTCCCCCAAGCTTCTGCCCCTGCCTCACCTCTTCCCACCCCTACTCCTCTCCTGCCCCACCCCGCACTTCACCTCTTCCCTCAATCCCCTGCCCCTCCTCTTTCCGCCCCACCTCTTCCCACCCACTCCCCAGAGTGTGCACTGTCCCCGCTCCTCCCCATCCCTCCTCCATCTTCCTGCATGCCGCGAAACAACTGTTTGCACAGGAGGCGCTGGGAGGGAGGACAAGGAGTTGATCAGTGGAGACGCTGGCAGGTGAGAGGCGCTGGGGGGAAGTGGGGAGGTTGGCTGCGGAAGGGTGTTCAGCACCCACTAATTTTTCTCCGTGCCTATGGTGGCAGCAACACCACTGACCCATATTCTAGTCCCCACAGAACCTCCCGTCTGTGCACATTAATATGCCATTGGCCATAGAATGCTCATTTATGCACCACTTCATCCATGGTAAACATTATTCACTTACATTGAAAGCCTCGAATGGCAAGAGCACAATGTAACCGTGGTGTCTCTGTGGGACACAACTGAGGATGCCGAATTCAGGACAAACTGCTGAGAAATAGGGCAGATACACTGCAAGACTGTGGCTAATCCCCCATAGGATATACCCAACCAGCAACAAAAGTAAATTTCTGCCTCACCCCACTGGCTAACAAGAAGTCATAAAAACAGTTTCCTTAGAAATTCCACTTCTTATATCACCACCAAAAACACTGGGTTCAGAGATGAGGGGTTCTTTACAACCAATCTCATCAAATAAAAAGTTCTTCTGATCCCAAAGGACCAGCCACATACCCAGGTTAATATATAACTTAGATCTTACTAAAGGATTGGCATTAGCGTGATTTTTGGGTATCTAAAATCTAAAGATTTACTCATAAAAAGAAAGAAATAAAGGTGAGAATTAAAATTGGTTGAAGGGATCAAATACATACAATAATTGTACAGTTCTTGGCTCAGGCTTGTAGCAGTGATGGAATAAATTGCTGGCTTAAGTCAAGTCTCTGGAGTACATCCACAGCTTGGATGGGTCATTCACTCCTTTGTTCAGAGCTTCAGTTTGTAGTCAAGTTCCTCCAGAGGTAAGAAGTATGACTGAAGACAAAATGGAGATGTTCCCAGGGCCTTTTAGATCTTCTCCCATGTGGAAGGAAACTCACTGTTCTTAATGTGGAAAATTACAAGAGCAAGATGGAATTTGGAGTCACATGGGCAAGTCACATGTCCATGCATTTCGCATAGTCATTGCAGGAAGCCATCACCTATACTCCAGACAGCACATTTACAGGACAGCCCTCCAATCAGTGTAGATGGGCATCTCCCACGGTCCATTGTGAGTTAAGTGGCCTTTTGATGGGCCACTCAATTTGAATGGTTCCTTCGAGATGTGCTGGCTGACTACCTTGTTAGTTATCCCAGGAGCAAACATTTGACATACAGATATAGAGCCAATACTCATAACTTCAAATACAAAAATGATACATGCATACAGACAGCATAATCATAACCAGCAAATTACAACCTTTCCATAGACACCTCACTCGACCACCTTTGTACAAAATTTGTTGAAAATATATAACAGTGGTTGCAACAATAATCTATATGGTCATATTTTATTCAGATGTCACACAAATAGAAGCAAAGAAACAAAACAATTTGTTGCCCTTTGGCCTGAGTGGTTCACCAGTATTTGTGGTCTTGTGGGGCTGTGTCTGCTAGGAGAAGAAACTGATGATACAGGACCCCTTTCACCGAGACTATGGCGACACTAAAGAGCTTACAGTGGTGCAGCTGTAGCGCTTCTAGTGGCCCTAGAGGTCTCATTGATTTCTCGGCACCTTACAACTAGCACTCAGCCCTGGCAGGATTTGGTCCTAGTGCACATCAGCAAAGAGCAGTCCTCATGGGAACAGTATATAAACATGTATCTAAGAAAAATGCGAACAACAAATACAAACATGGAAACAATAAAGAAAGTTGGGCAGGGGAAATGCACTGAAGCAGAATGGAAACCAGTCGGTGCTGGTGGAAAAAAATGTGTAACAGTATTGCAGGGTCCAAACAGAACATCAAACTTCCTACTATCTTATCTAGGCATCCATCCAACTCCTACCGACCTTTGACCCTCCTCTCTAATTTTGACACTTGGCACCCCCTCTTCCTCTCCTTTCAGTCTCCCATCCTCATCCTTGGTGACTCCCATACTAACATCTCCTCTGACCTGTTAACTGCCCAACTCTTCACCTGACCTTCAGCCCCAGATCAACTCTCTCACTCACCAAATAAGCACTTGCTCAACCTTGCCTTCACTAAGCACTCTGGCCCACCGAAGTCAATCGAAGTTAGGGGCCTAAATACGTCTGTGGATCTGGGCTTCTCATCTCTATAGTATTGGGTTCCCCTTCTCCGAACATCACTTTAATATCAGCTTCTTGCCACCTGTCTCTCCACTTGGCTTTTCTTTCAGTTTCCATGGTATCTCCACTACTTTCAGCCTCTTTCCAACCTCTCTCTTTCCTCATAATAATTCATTCAGTTACTGATTCCTCCACTCCTTTCTCTCAACCCAAATGGCATCACACTAACTCCTGACTGTGGGTTATGCTCAACATCCAGTCAAAGGCCTGGAACTAGGAGTGCTGGGGGTGGTACTTCACTCCCTGGCTTGAAGTGGTTTCCATTCTATACAGGGTTCACAGTTTGGTTCAATGGCTCTCAGCCCCCCCACTGTACACATTGTTCCAGCCCCCCGACAGACAGTTATTTCATTCTCATTTGCATGCCACTGAATGCCTCTGGCATGAGTCTCACAACCATGCTGACTTCCTCCCCAGCAAATTCCTTCATCTCTGCCATCTTCCTTGCTAAACAGTGCCCCTTTCAAACAGATCAAGCACAAAAGTAGAGCTGGGTGAAAAACTGGAAGAACAGTTAGAAAGTTTTTTGTCTACATGAAATTTTTCATAAAAATCTGTCAAAAAAATTCAATTTAGAAAAATGTTTGGTTTTGAAATGTTCAGTTTTTCCTTCCATTTTGTCACTAAATAGGGGAAAGACATAGAAAAGAGGATGGGGAGGAGAGAAATTAAAAACAATAAACTAAAAAAACTCCCCCAAGCCACCAGTAAATTTTTCATTTTTCAGTTAAAAATATTTTGGGTGAAAATTTCTGATTTAGAAAAATAGCCATTTTTCAATGGAAAAAAATACGTCTCTCATACAAAGTATTTCAAGCAGCTTTCCATAAAAGCTTTATATATCAGGTCAAACTGGAGTATAAGAGTTCGGGTTCCAAATTTCTGATTCAGTTTGGTCTTTGTGTAAAGGGCAAGAATTGTCAGGACTGATTCTCTTCTCATTTCCCTCAGCTTTACACTGGGAGACAAGATTTAACAGCATATTTCCCCGTGTTTCTAAAGTGACAAACCACACAGGGGACAAAATCATGAAACCTTTCTTGGTACCCCAACAAGTGGCAAAATCAAAATGGCCCAGGTTAATAATTCTTAAGAAATCTTTCTCTTAGCAAATTCATCAGGTTTGCTACAGATGCAGTTCCTCTGTGTGTAGCACCTTGAACTGCTGACGGTGTTTTTGTATATATAGGCGCACTCTCCTCCTTCTCCTATTTGAAACCTGCAAAAAAATAAGAACAATGAAGCTGTGAAGGAGGCCATTAGAAGTAGAGTGTGAATAATGGATTTTTCAGTTTACTGGCAATTCCAAAAAAACGATGAAAAAAATAGTTCCAGGTCAACCTAGAAAATGGCATTTTCAAAAGTTTTGGAGAACCAAAAAGTCAAAAAAGTTAGTTTTTGTCCATCCTTCCTGCTAAGGGAGCAGCTCTGGTCTCTGTAAATCTGCACTGCCTTTGAGAATCAGCCAGAGCCCAAAGGGAAGGAAATGCTCTGACTGATGCTGGAGGGGCACTTGGATTGTGCATTTGCCAATGTAGGTGCTGGAGTGATTTCCGGGTGAACTCCTGCCTCCCCAAGGACTGTAGGAGGGGTCTCCAGTCATCCCACAACACGGGGTGGGAGTTTAGAACTGACCCACAGAGAGGGGAGCCCCCACCACAGCTGTCTGTGACCCAAGAGAGTGAATAAAAAGAAAGTGACTCACAGGTTGTTGAATACTGAGCCATTGGGCCACTTCCAGGGCTGGCCTGGTTCCCTCCTGAGACCGATCCAGGCATCAAGGTAGCCTTGGTATTGCATCAAGAAATCCTTTTAAAGAATGCAAAGGGGAAATAGACTTTACCTTTTTTTTTTTACATTGGTTTAAGCAAGACAATGTTGTGCCTTACTTCCAGGTTGAATCTATCTAGTTTCTGCACCTCTGGATCTTCCTCTTCCTTTGCCTGCTAGACTGTTCTAGAATCTGATATTCTCTCCCTGTATAGGTAAGGCCAACACTGAGCCCTTTCAAAAAGCCTGCCCATATTCCCACCCGAGCCTCAGTTCCCCATCTGTAAAGTGGGGATAATAATCTTGTCTTTGTCTGTTTTGCCTATTTAGAGTGTAAGATCATCAGCAGAGTGACTGTCTTTCACTGTGTCTCTGTGCAGCACCCAGCTTCTGGAGGGGGGTCAGCTGGGGCTGACTCTCACTGTGTGTCTGTGCAGCACCCGGCACAACGGGGCCCTGAGCTCAGCTGGGGCAGGGCCTGTCTCTCGCTGTGTGTCTGGGCAGCGTCTGGCACAACGGGGCCCT